AAAAAAAACCCTGATGAAATTTGATCTCAGAGCTCAATAATAAAACGAACAACGGAACATTAAAAGCTATAGGTAACCAGGTAGAAACAATTCTCGACAACAACTATCATACAGCTAACTACAAGTATATAACTCTAAAACGAACTAAGACAAAGCTTTCAGTCTATTCGAGTCTATTGTAAGCTAAAAGTGACCTCACCTAAAGTTCAGCAATGTACTATGGCATAACTTGATGTGTGAATAACTAGGATGCTTATCATGTTCCTTGAAAGCATTTGTACAAAGTACTCATCTATGATACACTTCCCTGTTTGTCTTATTTGTCATTTGCACTGGATGACAATTTCTCCCATATTTGCGAACGAGTAACTGAAAAGTGACAAGTGGTGAAACATGTGTAAATTCGAAATACTTTTAAGCGAGACTGTCGTAACTACATCGAACTACTTCGATGGTAGGGATTCCAGGATTCTTATGGTACGGATTAACCAATTGGAATTATTTTGAAGCACTGTTTTTTCATTATGTGAAACAACTCCTGCACTCCTATCTGCTCTGTACGAAACTCCCTCAATTTTTCATGACCTACAGACTGCTAAATTATCCCACGAAAAGTTAGATAAAACTATGACGCCAATCCCCGTCTTTGGGATTGGCCCTGCATCCGACTTCGTGTCAGAATCGCAGTTACAGATTGAGTGGGCATTTGGCTTATACAATGAATGACGGTGGTCAGCCGATGCTTCGATACGCCCAGACGAGTTGGCGCATTAACCGATCCTGGAGGTGGAAAGCTTGGTTGGCCTGAGCAGATATCGGTCTGAGCTCCGATTCCCGGACCATAACTATGTGATAGTGCGCGACCTGCCTCTACACCATCCTGCCCCGTTAGTCACATATCTGACCCATTCTAGTACTTTAGCTTCAAAGACTCACGAATATCCTTTGTTTCGGAGATAAGATTCAACAGCTCGTTTGATCACAGCCCGCCCTCCGCTACTTTTACCGTATCCAGTAATTACATGTAATCTGCGATCAGATCTTCCATATCGTTTTGTTTCTGGACCTAAATATGAATTAGGAATAGTTCCTATTGATAATCGAGTTTACAGTCACACTACTTACGATCCAACACTGCAAGGCGGTCTCTGAGCAATGAAAGCGCCTCTTTTTGGCTGAGCAAGTGAAAATCGAGGACAGGCGAATGCTCTTGTGCTTTTATTATGATTCTGCTGGCCTCTTCAAGCAGGCTCTTTTCTCGCGAAGCGTGTTCTCGAGCCTAAAAGGAGAGCACTAATTGCTAGCCTGAATTACCAATATGACAAGTAATAAGAGAAGCTAGAAGGACGTAGACAATAGGGTTGAACTGCTTTCTCCATATGCCAGTGGAGAAGGGACCAATGAGACTTCGAACCTTATCGGGTGTTCATGGAATAGTGATGGCGTCTCTAGACACAGAGTTTTATGGCCGAATTTTGGATTACATCGAGATGTCTCCCAGATCGACCAAGATCCCACCGCTTCGTTGTGAAATATAAATTCGCCTGATGCAATAAGAAAATACGAGAGCGTGGAAGCCAAAGGCGCCTTTGAAAATTTGCATAGGTCTCAACGGAAAAGAAGTGAATGGCGTATGTGTTTGTAGTAAAGGAAAATCGTTCGATACCAAACATTTTTTCCTTTTCTGTTATATGTGAATTTGGTCCCAGCACGTGCCACAGTGACTTGTCAGTGTCCAGGTGAAGAGAGTGTCAAAGATATACCTGGTGGCATACGGCGATATGACAAAAATGTAAAAAATAGGCATGCAGCGAAGCGGGTTTTCAGTCAAAAGAAAGGAGCACAATACAGTCAGCCAGCGCCAGCCGCAAAATAGTTTTTGGCTCAAAATCGATGAATCTGACTCCTCTTAATTAATTTTGTATTATTGATTTAGGGCAATACACTTTAGGGGTACTAAGCCGATGCAACTACATTAGGTGAACATCTCGTCGAAAGGTTTTTGGGGACAAGCTATTTACCGGTCTCAACAATAAAGAGACCAGCTCTACTCACAACTTGTTGAAAAGCTCCCGCCACAGCTGGCATTCCGCTTCGTATGTACCTACAAAGAATAAGTTAGTTTATTTTTCCGATTGGCAGATTGATTCTCACACCATACCTTTGCGCCTTCTGATTCTCTTCTGCGCGCTTCCAAGCATGGAATTCAGCTTCTTTTCGATACTGTAGAGCTTGTTCCTGTGCAAGCGGGAGGTTGATTTGTGGAGGAGGAGGTCGGCGTGACGTTGTTACAGGAGCTACCTTCAAACACGGACCAATGACTTGGTAACCAAGACTGGTCAAAAAATTCGAGGCAGCAGCCACCATGATTTTAATGTCTTCAGGGTATCCCTCAAAGTGTGATTATACAAACTCTTCTAGATGAAAAAGCAGCCGAGCTTGTTTCTCGCTAACGATGCGCTTCGAATTCGTGGCTTTAAGCAAACCTTATTAGCGGGTGTAACGAATGGCGTTTCAACGACATCGACATCTGGATTTAGCATAATATTCAGAGTGGAGCGTGTTGCTTCGGCATCGTACCTACAAAAAGCAATCCGGCTTATCGTGACGGTTATAAGAAAAAGGAATT